GGAAACTATTCATAAATTATTTTGAATACTTGAGCTGAAATTGGAAATGCTGTATCACTTTGCCCCACTTTCTTGTTTTAGCATGGTTAGAAAAAATAATTAAGTTAATCTGTAGTCAAGCTAAAAGGACTTGCTCTTGTCTTTGTTTTCTTTGGCTCAAACAACAAAGCTGTACAGCTATATGACACTCCCACTTCTGCCCACTACCAACTCCCAGAACTAGATGAGTACAGATTAACCATGTTACTTTACTGTTGAGTTTTGCAACTTGGTTATGTGTTAAGTAAGAACAACAATATATAAAACTACATGAGCAGATATTTGAAAGAAAGACTTGGAGGAGGTGAAGAGGGAAAGGAAAGGGAGACAGAGGGAAAAATGAAAGGGAGGGGTTTGCGTTTGTGTGTGTGTGTGTGTGTGTGTGAGAGAGAGAGAGAGAGAGAGAGAGAGAGAGAGAGAGAGAGAGAGAATAGGCCTCCAAGAAATACATTAATATTTCAGCATTGTTCATCTGTAGGTAGTAATAAAACAATGCTTTATATATGTGTACTTTTCATATATTTTATTTCATGATCAGAAAAATACGAAAGTTCTTATTTTTAAAACTTAGGGGAGGCTGGGCACAGTGGCTCACACCTGTAATCCCAGCACTTTGGGAGGCCAAGGTGGGTGGATCACGACGTCAGGAGTTCAAGACCAGCCCGGGCAACATGGTGAAACCCCATCCCTAAAAAATACAAAAGTTAGCCAGTCATGGTGGCATGTGCCTATAATCCCACCTACTCAAGAGGCTGAGGTAGGAGAATTGCTTGAATTCAGGAGGCAGAAGTTGAGTGAGCCAAGATTGGACCACTGCACTCCAGCCTAGGTGACAGAGCGAGACTGTCTCAAAAGAAAATAAGAAAAAAAATTTAGGGTAAATAATGTTTTTCCTCATTTTTGCTCTATTATCATTTGAGCCAAAAGTAAAAATTAAAATAAATTCAGTTTTCAACATTGTATAGATATATTTGATAAATAAGAAGTGTATATATGTAAGGTACATAGCTTGATATTTTCATATATGTACATATTGTAAAATGATCACTACAATCAAGCTAATTAAAATATCCAATATCTCACATAGTACGATTTTTCTTCCTCCCTTCCTTCTTTCTTCCTTCTTTTCTTTCTTTTTAAAGAAGAACACAAGATTTTCCCTCTTAGCAAATTTTAAGTATACAACGCAGTACTGCTAACTGTGGTCAACATGGTGTATATTATCTCCAGAATTTACTCATCTTGCCTAAATGAAACTTGCCACAGTGAATATACATGTGCATGTGTCTTTATAATAGAATGATTTATAATGCTTTGGATATATACCCAGTAATGGGATTGCTGGGTGAAATGGAATTTCTATTTCTAGGTCCTTGAGGGATTGCCACACTGTCTTCCACAATGGGTGAACTAACATGCACTCCCACCAACAGTGTAAAAGTGTTCCTATTTCTCTACATCCTCTCCAGCATCTGTTGTCTCCAGCTATTTTAATGATTGCCATTCTAACTGGAGTGAGATGATACCTCAGTGTGGATTTGATTTGCATTTCTCTAATGACCAGTGATGATGTGCATTTTTTCATATGTTTGTTGGCTTCATATATGTCTTCTTTTGAAAAGTGTCTATTCATGTCCTTTGCCCACTTCTGAAGGGGTTTGTTTGTTTGTTTCTTGTAAATCGGTTTTATGTTCTCACTCATAGGCAGGTGTTGAACAATGAGAACTCATGGACACAGGGAGGGAAGCATTACACACTGGGGTCTGTTGTGGGGGGTTGGGGAGGGACAGCAGGGGATAGGGAGGTTGGGGAGGGATAACATGGGAAGAAATGCCAGATATATGTGACTGGGGGATGGAGGCAGCAAACCTCATTGCCATATATGTACCTATGCAACAATCCTGCATGTTCTGCACATGTACCCCAGAACCTAAGGTGCAATTATACATATATATATATATATATATATATATAAAATTATGTTTTTGTTCTCATTTTCCTAGCAAGTGAACAACAGAGAATTAGAACTCAGAATGTAAAGCCATATTGTAGTAAGAGTTTATCTTCTAAGTCCTAGCTAAGGAAAACAAAAACAAAGCCAAACAAACATGCTCCAGCACTTTGGGACGACAAGGCAGGTGGATCCCAGGAGTTAGAGACCAACCTGGGCATGTGGGGAAACCCTGTCTCTACTAAATAAAAATACAAAAATTAGCCAGACATGGTGCACACGTCTGTAGTCCCAGTTACCTGGGAAGTTGAGGAAGGAAAATCACGTGAACCCAGGAGATGGAGGTTGTAGTGGGCAGAGAACATGCCACTGCACTTCAGCTTGGGCAACAGTGAGACCCTGTCTCAAAAACAAGACAAAACCAAAAAACAAAAAAACTTCTGTCTGCTCAATTCCATACAGTGTATTCAAATAATAGGATATTACATAGAGCTTGTGAAATAATCATACTAGGAAATGTGTTAGACTGCTAGGTTATGTCTTATGTCCAATAGGTTCATACTGAAGTGTTTACAGACTATACATTTATTAAAAATATACTAACAGGCTGGGCATGGTGGCTTATGCCTATAATCCTGCCATTTTGGGAGACCGAGGCAGGCGGATTGCCTGAGATCAGGAGTTTGAGACTAGCCTGGGCAACACGGTAAAACCCTGTATCTACTAAAATACAAAAAATTAGCTGGGCATGGGGGTGCCTGACTTTAGTCCCAGCTACTTGGGAGGCTGAGGCAGGAGAATCACTTGAACCTGGGAGGCAAAGTTGTGGTGAGTCATGATTGCACCACTGCACAATCGCATGGGCGACAGAGTGAGACTCCATCTCCAAATAAATAAATAAATAAAATAAAAACACACTAACATTTTTATTTTTCCCATATCATTCATAAATGAAACTATTTCATCCATGAATTTGCTGCCAAGAAAATTGCCAATATATGTCCTTGAATAATCAATATTTTGGAAAATACTGTTATGTAATAATTTCATCCTCAATACTACACTGATATAAATAAATAAATAATAACATAAATAAGTGCTGCCTCATTTTAGGATCTATTCTGAACACCCAATCTAGGTTAAACCCCTCACAATCTAGGCTGCATATTATTTTATTATCTATATATTTTTCAGTTTATTTGTTGAACATTTCAGTGAAAGTTATTTAAACTATGCCTAGAACTTAATGTTTTCAGTTATTTGTAATTTTTAGAAAAGTTTCTTATTTACTTTTCCCACCAATTTTTATGATCTAAAGAAAAATTTTTATGTTATCTCGCTCTGTGTGTGTGTGTGTGTGTGTGTGTGTGTTAGAGTACCTAAATATTTCCATACCAATGTGTAGACTCAAGAAACTAGTTCTAAAAAATCAATGTGTTATTGCTGACAGTAGAAAGTAACACCATATAAAAGGATACTAATCACTATCTCTAGTTCACACAAGTCTCTTATACTGCAGCACAGCCCTCAAATGTCATTAGATACTATAATTCACATAACTTTTACTTCTAATTTATACAATATGTTTTGTTTACATTGATGTTGTAGGGGAATCGCATAATTTATAAATATGCATTCATTTAATAATTTGCTTCTTAACAAATATTGAGCTCTTATAAGATATAGGCTTTGTTTAGGTTTTCATGATATAATAGCAAAAAAAAAAAATGAACAAGTGTCCAACTCTCAAGAACTTAAAAACTGTGGGAAAACCAAATAGAAAATGTTTTACATTACAAATAATTTAAAATATTAACTATCCTCTAGACACAGTTTAAATAACTTTACCTGAAATGCTCAAAAAATAAATTTTGATAAGTAATAAAAATATATAGGCTATTAAAATCATAATAAGCAGTCTAGGTTATGAGGGGATTCCTTTAGATTGGGTGTTCAAAATGAACCCTAAAATGAGCCAGCATTTATTGAAGGAAAGGTGAAAAAGCCATGCTAAAAGAAGTAAAAATATTCTAGACAACTTTATCATCACAGGCACATAACTTGATAAACAAAAGAGATTAGGATTTTCAAGGACAAAGGGGCAGAGGCTTAAGAAAGCATGGGAAATATTTTAGCACGTGCTTGGTATGTGCAAGACGTAATATTACATTATTTACATAGGTTATGTTGTTTAAACCTTATATACACAGTATGTGGTTAGAAAAAAAAAAAAAAAGGTGAGTATTTCAAAGGCTACATCACTTGCTAAAAGCCATCAAGCTTGTTTAAGTGATTCATCCAGGATTCCAAACCAGCAGTCTAATCATCACAATGATCATATCATCACAGTGACTGCCATCATTTTATTACTATTAACTGCAGGATTTCTATCTAAATGTTTTTGACAATCCCTGTTTTAGAACTCTCTTGAATCACTCCAATGAAGATTCTTCTAATATTTCTATGTTTTAAAAATTTCAGAAACAAATTGTTGAGATTAATTAGTAAGGACCTGGGAGGACTTGGCTTTGACAACTAACATTAAATAAGACAAAAAAGAAAAAATTAGCAAATTCTATAAACTCTCTCAAGGAAAATCTTTTTTTTTTTTTTTGATTTGTGGGTAATTACATATCTGTTCATCAGTGAAGAGTCAGAACCTACAAAGTATATTCTGGAGTTTTCAAACTAATTATTTTTCTTCTTTTACTTTTTTAGCAAGAATTTTAGTTGGCTTGAATAATAAGTTTTCCAAACCTTTATGTATGACTGAAGCAAGCTTGTCTAAATCTTTCAGAATTTGAACATGTTGGTTTCATGTAGAAATAAATAAACAATTGTCATGTAGCTATTTCTTTTAGGTAGAAACCAAAGAACTCTGACGGGAGATTTTCTGTTTTGAAGAATTACTACAATTTTCTTTTTAATTTCTATTTCGATTTAGAGAGAAAAGACCTTTGAAAAAATTCTAAAAAGCTTCACATAAGCTTCAGAGTTTGAGAAAGTTTACCTCACTGAATTAAACATTAGATCCTTTTGATGTGGGAGTGTTTCTTCCTCAATCTTCGAAAGAGCCTTGCTTAAATATTTAAGCCACAGTATACAGTGTCAAGTTTAAAAAGAAAAGCTTTTAAATCAGACTTGAAAATAATAAATTCAAACTTCAGTTAGCACTTGGATGGATTTAGGAAGTGTCATAGGGACTCATGCAGGTGATGGTCAGGTAGAATTAGAAGTAATAATATGTTTTCCTTCATACATGGGCTTTGCAATTAGCATGAAGCAAATGCAGACCATTTTTCTCCTAGGAGTCTTCACAGTTTCTGCCATTGGTCATACAAAGCATATGGAAATAGAAATATAAATTTTAATGTAGCATATATATTTCCACAGAATGCAGGGGTATGATAGAGGAACCTCTCTTACTATCTATTCTTAAGTAATTAAGCAACATGACTATCATGGTGTTCAGTACATTCACATTTCAGCCTGATCTCCCTCCTAAATTGGTCATCTCACATATTAACTGGGAAGAGCAGTTCCAGTTTATCTCAAATTCTTGAAATAAATTAGTTATCATCTTAAAATATTTCAATTGCACATTCTATTTTCCTATGAATATAACAAACTAGAGAATTTAAAGACATTTTTAATATTCTTTTCTTTCAAATATACATCGTCATCATTTCTAGATATTATTCTTTATACAAAAGTGTTGATTCATTCACTCTGACCCATTCTCATCATAATCAAGAGTCCTACCACATCACAACAATTTTATTGGAATATCCTATTAGCTAGGCTGAGATTATTTTACTCTTTTCTAAATGACTCTAAAAGTATTATTAGATTATTTTAGCAGTTACTTTTAAAATCACTTTGTAAAATAGCGTAGTCTAAGCTTTCATTCCATATTCATGAAAGCCTTTTCTAACTATTGTAACAAATACTAAAACTGTATCTCTTACAAACTAATATTTAAGGTATTCATTCATTCAATAGACATTTGTTTACACCTTCTTCCTATAGTATGGTGTACCCTCAAACTATTTATTTATGTGTCCTTCACAAAGAATGTTTATGTCAATCCTTTCCCTGTGGAGTTTAACCAGGGTGCCACAGCAAAGTACAACTTCAGTGCTTAGCACAGGGCTATACGCATATTAGATACCCCAAAAATATTTGTTGAGATAATGAATGAATGCATAGGGAAATAATAGTGAAATAATTTGAAAAAGGTAACAACAGAAAGCTGTGGGTACAAAGGTGGCATGAAAAACTGGACTATTAATTTTCCTAGGTATTTGAGAAGGGCTTCACTGCTTGATATTAAAACTAAGTCTCAAAGAGTAACAGATGCTAAGGACATTAGGCAATGGATATATGTAAAATTCCAAATTGTGAAGTAACCTCAAGGTTCGAGAACCAGCAAGTATTCTGCAATTTGGTGGGCTTTAGGGACTGCAACAGTCAAGTAGTGGTAGGTGGGGATTTAGTCGCCAGAGCTCAATATGGCTGTAGCTTTTCAAGAAAGAATAAAAACTAGAGATTTCCTTTTTAAAAAGAAAATTCAGGCAGCAGGGGTTGGGTTGGCGGGGCTACTTTGGAGTGACAATAAATTATGGGCAGAGGAAACCAGTAAAACATATATGCATGTATCCAGTCAAGACCTAATGAGATGAGATGGTGGTATTAGTAGAAAGGATGAAGCAGAATTAACAGGTTTATAAGTTAGAAAAAAGAGGGAAGGAGCATTTGGCAACGGAACTTAAGGGAAGGGGTTAAATATAGGAAGAACTATAATTTTCTGCCTTGCATAACTCAGCAAAGATTCATGCTCTTATAAATAAGTGGATAGAACATGTAAAATGTATTTAAACATTTACCACGGGATTTGTTGTTCCAAATTGGATTATAAACCTAATGAAAGTTTAAATCAAATATTATACATGTTTTATTTGGATTAAAACTGACATTAACACAAAGCTTGAAACTTTCTGTAATTTTACATTCTGGTATATACTAAGTGGCCAACTCAAAGAGTATATTATATATTAATTATAAGTATTTAAGAGACGAGGCTTAAGAATAATATGAACATAGATTCAAATTCCAGCCTCATTACTCATTAGATGTGACCTGAATGACATGCTTACATCCTGATTTCTTCATATATGATTGCTGATAACAATAGTAACTACTTGTTATAATATTTGGGTGGATTAAATGAGAAAACAGACATAAAATTATAGTAGCCACTCAAAATATTATTCAATTTAAGTATTAATGGGTAATCATATTTCTATTAGCATGATATTAATCTTTTATCAATAATAATATTGTATAATAAAATATATTTACATATTTGAGCACTCAAGTTATATTAAAAAATAACTACAGTTGTTTATTTTTAATAATATACATACATTTTCTGCTTCATAGTACAAATTCAAGCACTTTTAGAAACTAAAATGTTAATATTTTCACCAAAATTATAGTTTGCTAAACATTCTCTTGAAAAGACATATTGACTCATAAAATTGCTATCTAAAAGGATTGTTTAAATTAATATAAATGCTTGCATAATGCTTTCAATATAGAAAAGGTTAGGAAGGTTCACTACAGATCATTACATTTGCATCACAATTTTAAAGAAAATTTGAGGCAAGAGAGACCTGAGTTAGCTCAAAAAGCCTTTTCTAAACGTTGAAAAAAAGAGTTAAGTTTGAGGGCCTGGATACAAGAAACCTGTTTTAATAAGATGCTTCAGAAGTTCACCATGAGCCTCTCTATGAGTGTAGAGGAAAAAGTTACATGGTAGAAGTTTCAATACTTTGACAATCAATGTAGGAGTGTCAAGGAAGACATGAAATATCAATAATTTTGGTGCTTTCAAGCTTACCTTCAAAGCAGATTAAAACACATTACAAGGAAAAAGATGAAAATTAACACTGAATAACACAATACTTAAACACAGAATCATTGGTGTGAGAGAATTTTAAAAATTCTTGAATTTTTAAAACTTAAATTCTTGCCCTGGAAATAAAATACTATGATTACTTTTAATCTGGAAAAGATACGGGGTAAAGGGAGGTACCGAAGAGATAGCAAATAACCATAGTAAAAGTAATCTCAGTAAAAGTTAAATTCAATATTATATTATATATAACATATATATGGATGAAGATAATGAATTAAGGCAGAACATTTAAAAGTATTAACTAGTTCAGGTGTATGTTGTTTTAACTGTCACAGATTTTAAAGTGATTGAGAAGCAGTGATAAGTATTGCAAACTACTAAACAGAAGCTATTTGCTAAATTCATCTTTCTTAGTAACTTTTTAGTAATATCTTTGAAACGGATGATAACGAGATTAATTTACTTTTTTGTTTCCTCCTCATATTATTATAATGTTTTATGAATTGTTGACACAGCTGTAGAACACAGATTATTATGAAAGAAAAATATTTAAATACCTATGAATGCAAGTAATAACTATTAGTATGAAAAATAAAACATAAATCAGTTTCAGAAAGCAACTTACAAAGACATGGAGAGGGGGTCATCTGCTTTCCTTGTTCACTGTTGCAGACACTGTTCTCACTGGGGGTAGTTGCATGCACTGGGAGAAAGTCATTCCAGACCTTCTGGGGCACTTCTATGACAACTGAAAGTGAGCCTGTGCAGCTAGTTCTTGCATGAAGGGTGGGGCTCAATTCCTGCTTCCTACACAGAGCATCCCAGCAACAGAGGCAAACAAGCCACAGAGTAGTCAGTTCTGGACTCACGGAAAAGGCTCTGCCCTGAGCCATTTGGATGAAAGCCTCTAGAGGGGTATATTTGTAGTCTATAGCCACCCTGTGGCTTGGAGCCAAAGGACAAAGTCTGTATAGACTGAAAGTCCTGAGCCCTGTGACAGGAATGTGAAAAGGAAGTGGATCGCATTCATCTTCCCACAATGAGGAGGTGTTGCACTCACCAAGTCCAGTCCAGAATATCTTAGAGCACCCCAACAAATTCTCCCACCACCACTGGTCCCATGAGAGCAAGAGCTTCTACCCATCATTGCCTACCTGAGGGCAAGTAAGCTCTTACTAATAATTGCCACCTACTGAACTGAACCTTGAACTGCACAACTAAATAAAAAACATGCTTCCAGAGGGGCATAGTGCTAGTGCAGTGGATAAGCAACCTAATACCTGCACATGCTCAGCCCTGAAGGAGATAGTTATTGTTTAATGCATCCAATATATTGTGAAAACAAGTAGTATCAATGAAAATACCAAACAAAAAAACAACCACAACCAAGGAACCCATACAAATACTTGGCCTTCTAAAACAACCTAGAAATAAAGGTAAACATTCGTACCAAACATACACTACAGTCATACCCTCATGGAAAATGAGAATTTAAAAGTATAAAAGTCCCATTCAAACAATAGGCAGATTCAAAAATAAGAAGCAATAGCTCCTTCAGATGAAATGGAATCAGTGCAAGAACTCCAGCAGTACAAAAAACAGAGTATATTGACTCCTCCTAAGGATTACACTAGCTCTCTAGCAATGGCTCTTAATCAAAATGAGAAGTCTGAAATGACAAATCAATCAAATTATGGAATGCAAGGAAACTCATTGAGATGCAAGAGAAAGTTGAAAGCCACTACACACAAAAACATAAAAACAATTTAGGATATGAAAGATGGATTAGCTATATTTAAAAAATAGAGCTGGAATTGACAAATTCACTAAGTGATTTTCAAAATATAGTTCGAAGCTTTAACAATAGACTAGACCAAGCAGAAGAAAGAATTTTAGAGAGTGAAGAGTGGTCTTTTGAATAAGGCGAGTCAGAATAAAATAAATAAAAAAGAATTTTAAAAAATAAATATTGACTTCAAAAAATATGGGATTATGTAAAGTGACCAAACCGTTGACTTACAGGCATTACTGAAAGAGAATAAGAAAAAATAAGCAATGTGGAAAACAAATTTGGAAGAATAATCTAGGAAAATATCCCTAATCTTGCTAGAGAGGTGGATATCCAGATTCAAAAAATTGAGAGAACATTTGTGAGATGCTATATAAGATAATCATCACCAAAGCATATGGTCATTAGACTATCCAAAGTCAATGTTAAAAAAAAATTTTAAGGGCAACTAGAGAAAAGAAATAAGTTACTTAAAAGAAAATGCTATCAGATTAATAGTAAACTTTGCAACAGAAACCTTAAAAGCCAGATAAAATTGGGATCCTATTTTTATCCTGCTTTTTCTTAAAGGAAAAAACAAAAGCCAGCCAAGAATTTTACATATGGCCAAACTCAGCTTCCTAAATAAAGAAAAAATAAAGTCTCTCTCAGACAAAGAAGACATTTTGCAGCCAACACGCATATGAAAGAATGCTCTCCATCACTGGTCATTAGAGAAATGCATACCAAAGCCACATTGAGATACCATTTCATGCCAATTAGAATGGCAATCATTAAAAAATCTGGAGATGACAGATGCTGGAGAGGATATAGAGAAATAGGAATGCTTTTACACTGTTGGTGAGAGTGTAAATTAGTTCAACCATTGTGGAAGACAGTGTGGCAATTCCTCAAGGATTTAGAAATAGAAATACCATTTGACCCAGCAATCCCATTACTGGGTATATACCCAAAGGATTATAAATCATTCTATTATAAAGACACATGCACATGTATGTTCACTGTTGCACTGTTTACAATAACAAAACCTGGAATCAACCCAAATGCCCATCAATGATAAACTGGATAAAAAAAATGTGGCACATATACATCATGTAATACTATGCAGCTACTAAAAAGGATGAGTTCATATCCTTTGCAGGGACATGGATGAATCTGGAAACCATTATTCTCAACAAACAGATGCAATAATAGAAAACCAAACACTGCATGTTCTCACTCATAGGTGGGTGTTGAACAATAAGAACACATGTACGCAGAGAGGGGAACATCATACAACCAGATCTTTAGAGGGTGGTGGGATAGGGAAGGGATAGTGGGGTGTGGGGAGATTGGGAAGGGATAACATTGGGAGAAATACTTAATGTAGGGGTCGGGGGGATGGAGGCAGCAAATCACCATGGCAAATGTATGCCTATGTAACAATCCCGAAAGATCTGCACATGTACCTCAGAAATTAAAGTATATAAAAAAAAGCAACTCACTGTCTGAAATGTTGGATAAGTCACTTAACCATTGTGAGCCTCAGCTACTTTTCTGGAAAATGAGAAAGGCATCCATAATCCATATAATTTCTCTTACGTTTGATAATCATTTAGTATATGTAAGGAATCTAGCATGGTATTAGAAACCAGAACGATTTTAACTCCAACCTTTTTTCTTTTTGCCTAACATTATTAATTAGTACAGTTATATTAATTAATTAATCCAACAAAAATGTATGAGTCTATATATAGTTCTGTAAAGTTGGAATTTAAAATTATTGGCGAATAGTAGAGCATGGGAAGACATGCAAGCAAAGAGATCTCTACAGAAATATAATCTTAGAGAATATCTTGTTTTATGAAGAATAAATTTAATGTGGTAGATAAAAGACAATTCTGTAAGAGTTCAAACAGGACATCAACATGAACAGATCCATACTATGAAGAACCAGTGCTGCTCCTATTTGCAAGGGTTATATTGAATAGTTCCAGGGTGTCATTTGTCTCATCCTTATAAGATTTGTATCTTTTCTAAGGCAATGGTCAAAGGGAATAAGGTGTCTAAAGAAGGGATCTGTTTTTTTTTTTATTTGCATAAAGTTGTTATATAAGTAGGTGGTAGACTAGAAAGCAATCTTGGTCAATTATATTTAAAATATAAATTATATAGCTAATATTAGAAATCTTACTATATTGTACAAAAGGAGAAACACATTTTGTGAAATATTCAAGGGAGAAAAAAATTAAAAATGTAGAGGCGATAATAGACTGGTAGAAGATAAAATATTGAAACAGAAGTAATAGGATTTTACCACCAATTAAAAGTGGGAGGAAAAGAGAAAATGGTATAACATAATTCCCGAGTCACTCACCTCCTTCTGGTTACTTGGGAAAAGGGGGGAAAGTAGTTCATGATGATATATACTGAGATAAAAAAGACAGAATTAGGCAGGTTTATGTATGTATTTATTTATGTTTGATAGTGAAAATGGAAGGAAAATGGGTTGTTTTTGTTATGTTACTTTTGATGTGCTTTTAAGATATTTTTTTTTGAAATGTCCTATATTCTTAATTTAGGTATCTTTATATGTCCCAGAAATTTTAAAGAATGTGGGCTAGACATATACATTTGCAGAGGTTATGAACATTGAGTGGAAATTGAAATCAGGAAGACAAATGGAACTACCCAGGCAAATGTATTAAAGTAGAAGAGATTGAGTATGTATGGTAAAAACCATGGTAACACCACTATTTTATAATGTAGAGTAAAAGGACCTGGCAAGTGAGCCAAGGGAAAAAACAAACAAACAAACAAAACATCACTTATGTAGGCAGAAACCCAGCAAGGAACACCTCTCAAATAGTAAATCAGAGTTAATAGCATCTTAAATTGCATTGAGTAATTGGACACAGATTGGCATATTGGATTTGGAAACAAAGGTGATAATGGTAACTTTTGTCAGAGTTATTCAGAGTTGTCCCCACAACTGACCTGAGGGGAAGGAAAAACACAAAGCCATTTTTTCCTTTTGGAAATCAGTTGTCCCCTCAAACACCTGATCTGAGGTGAAGGGAAAGAATGAAGAGTAGCATTTTATGTTTAGTGTTCCCATTTCACTGTAACTATTGTTTTCGGTTATAGTAAAATTAGATGGCTATTTCATGTTCTTCGGATCTACAAGCAAAAATTCTTTTCTCCTCTCTTCCCTATCCCCATTAAGATGAGGCAATAAGCAACAAAACCAAAACCTGAGGCCAGATTTTGATGTGGTATACTAACGTAAACCATGTATCTGATAATGTCAGAATCTTTAATTATGCCCCAGTCTCCAACTATTATTCTAACATTCTAGTGTTTAGTCATGTTTAAATAATAGGAGTACTGTCAAGTGAGGCTTAAATTATTTTTCTGACTTGAATTAGAAAAGAGGAATATGAAAATACAAACTGATATATCTTTTCCACTATTTTATTCCACGTTTTAGATGGGCAATCAAAAAGAAGAACTTGACACAATCAACCATGTTAAACAAAAAACTTCCTTTAAATCATCTCAATACCAATCAAGTACATTTGTAAATTGTAGTATTGTTATGCAAATAAAATGCAGAAGACTGAAGTTCAGAATTAGCTAGTAATTTCAGATTATAAATCGAATTGCTAATTGTACATACATTATTTTTTTCTGATGCATTTTCATCCTGAGAGAACTAATTTCTTAAGTAGAAGGTGTACATAAGGAAATTTAAAGGTCATTGCATTTTATATCAAATGACTTATTTTCCAGGCCCTAGACATACACTTTTATATCTTTAACTATTTCGGAAACACAACGCCATTTTTTCCTTTTGGAAATCATGAATGTCAATGATTTATCTAAAATATAATATTTTATTCAGCACTATTTTTAGAGGATTGTTTGAAGGCAGCACATAATAAGCATCAAATAATTTGAAATCTGGGGGAGGAGAAAGTGTACTATATCTGGAGCCAAAAATAAATTTTCTCTTTTTCTTTGCATTGCTTTTACTTTTCTGGAAAGCTCTTCCACTAATTAAACCCCAGGAAAATAGATTCTAATCTTGAATTCATATTTAAAGATGTGTAAAAAAAGCGATAATAAAAATCATAATGACTTTATTTTTTTGATAGACCTGTGTAGATCAAGGCCAATGGTCAAATGGAATCCCTAAGTTGTCTATTGTTCCTTAAATGACAAATGCAAGTTTGTCCTGAATGTTGCACCCAAGCTTGCCAGAAAAATGAGCCCCTCTGGCCCTATCTTACTTAAAGTGTTGGCCCTTGGATGTACTTCTACATTTTATTCTTAAATTACATACAATAAAATTTATTATTTTTGGTGCACAGTTTTATGCTCATGCTTGTAGTCACCTATCTTTTGTCTCAGGCAAGTGTTGGTCTTGTCTTCATCCAGTGGTGGTGAGGTTTATGTTTAACTACTGGACATAAAAATTGTGTGCCTATATATTAATACATTCATTTATTATACACTCGACTCATATAACTAATGATAGCACACAATTTACAAATAATAACAAATTATATTGCCCTGTATTACAGATTCCATATTGGCAATTGGTGCCCACAAATGCTTTTGTTGATTTTTGCTGGACTCTCTGAAGACATACTATGAACATATTTCTGATAGGACAATCAACATGTTGGTTGGCATTTTCATTTAGGCAATGAGTAAGATGCAAATAAAACAAGGAAGATATATGTCTTAAATGATATTTCACATAAATTGAGCCATTCACTATGTGGACTTTTGTGGCTAGCTTCTTTCCTATGACAAAATTACACTGAGGCCCAGCCATGTGTGGCACATATTGGTACTTTTCCTTTTAATTGCTCAATAATATTATATGGATAGGTTACATTTTGTTTGCTCATAGGTTGATAGATGTTTGGGTCATTTCCACTTTTTGGCTGTTGTGTACAATAATTTTTTTGCATATTCTCCTCCAAATAAATTCAGTATCTTTCAGCAAAGCAACAGGTCTGCCCAATATCATGGCTTGCCCTTCCAGCCAAGAAAGAACTTAAATGCATTGTAGATGGGGAGAGAGATGAAGGCAACCCTGAATGAAACGCCACAATCTCCTGTTCTTCTGACTAGAATCCAATAGATTTTCTTTAATACATTCTTCTCAATTTGTTGTATTCTTTTTGTTAATTTCAAGAGACTGTAAACAATTATTTTTGTCAATGTTTTACAGTTTTATTATTGCATGTTGGGCACATATTTTGTCAAACTCCTGACAGACATGTTGGAATGCCTACTTCCCAGAGTCATTTTTCTTTTTCGTTCTTTTTTTTTTTAAGGGTTGTTTTTGTCATTGTCAGCTATATCCTTTTAAATTTGAATTAAATTTTTTTTATATTTTTAGTAGAGACAGGGTTTCACTATGTTGGCCAGGCTGGTCTCAAACTCCTGATCTTGTGATCTGTCCACCTCGGCATCCCAAAGTGCTGGGATTACAGGGGTAAGCCACTGCACCCAGCCCCATTCTGTATCTTTAAAGAGCTCTGTATCTAGAAGGAGAAACAGGCAAACATGTAAGGGCAAAAGCGCTGTAAGAGAAAATGTACTATCCAACATAGATCACATCTAATGTGGAATATTTTATTCTTCCTGAGGTGAAAAGTCATTAGAAAAACTCTCAGGTAGATAATGATTGAGTGAGACTAAGAAGTTGAATAGTATCCATTGAAGCAAGGATGATTAAAATTTTATTGAAATAAATGAATATTTGAAATGTCAAAAATATCACTAGAGAGTAGAAGTTAGCCATG